CTTATTAATGCCATAAATCGAACATGATCGAAAGAGTTCACGAACGTTAGCCGTGAGTTTCAATATTACAGTTGTTCTCGAAATAGGAATAAACGAAACGTAAATTGCGGATAGTTTCTCGGACATAAACTCCTCGAGGAGATTACTCGTTTCATGTCTTTCATCTGTTACGCGTAAATCTTGCAAGTAGTTGTTAGCCGATTGACAGTAGCCCACAATGCCGTTCGAAGCTTTCTCGTATTTCCTGCGGGATGTTAGCCAGTTTTTTTCGCGAATTGAAAATGTCTTCCTGGTGGTCTTGGTCACAGAACATTGCATCGTGCCGAGAGTTTCTCTAGCTTGCAAGTAATCCTCGTTGGTAATGATCGGTACCGCAATGTCAAAATGCATTTACCGAACAGTCGTGAAATTGCATTTTGCTTTATGAGCTGCTTGATCATTATCGTGATTGTTAAACTTCCAGCTGCTTCGTGAAGGTAGTCTTAAAAAGCGTGATCAACGTGACATACTGAGTTTGGGAAAAAATTGTTAGCGTGGGTTGAATTGTCAACGTATTTTCAGTTCTGGGAACTTTGAGGTTCTTGACTTTTGTAATTAACAATTCGGGAACGGGGAAATTTTGGAGTTCGGATTTAGGAGTTTCGTGTTTGCAATTTTGGAAGCTTTAATATTTGGAACTTTACGAATTTGGACACTTCAAACTTTTGGAAAAATTTAGGGAAATTTAAGGATTAAAAATTTCAGATTTTCAAATTTAGAAATTTATAGACTTGGAAATTTACAAATTTAAATATTTCAAATTTTCAAATTTTTAGATTAGTAAATTTAAATATAAAAGAGAATGTCGTAAGTTTAATTGCCATCATTAAATTCAATGAAAAAATATTTATAAGATTTCTCATAATCTGTGACTGACTTTTTAATGAGCTATTAAAAAATTTACGAGTGATGTAAATTTAGAAGAATGAAGATATTAAAGTAGGGATTCCGTACAAATGTCCTTGTTCACGTTAACAAAAAGTACTTATTAATTTGTCAGTTTCCCTAGCAATTTGTTAATTTACAAAGTTGAGTCACGTAACAGCTACCAAAACAAAGGGAAACAGTAAAGTTAATGGAGAGATCACGCGAGCACCAGAGATAATGCCTGTTACGTTTCCAATTAAACCTATGAACAGTTTATCCGCGTTAAATCATTGTAATTACAACATTCTTGCTTCCTATTAACACTAAATCTCAACTACGTCTACAATGAATAATTGTCCTCGTTTTGCTTCTATTTGATTGTAAGAAGAAAGGCGAAGTAAATTTATTCAACGTTCAATGCAAATTTAATCTCGTGTGCTTGCTGGAATAATGATGAAGGATTTTCTTCAAAATGCAGCTAATTCGTATAATTCTTACAAAATGAAATATCACTGCAAAATTAACACTGCAAAAATTTAATAACCTAAAAAATATACAAAAATGTAATAAATTAATAAATACTGCAAAAGTTTAATAAACTAATAAATACTGTAAAAGAATTAGTGAATTAATGCAATATTAATTGAAAATTTATGAATTTCGAGATGATGAAATTTAAAAATGTATCAAGTGCATCAGATGTGAAAATTTAATAAATTAAGAAGTACTTCAAAAATTTAGTAAATTAATAAATACTATACAAAATTTATAAATCAACAAATACTGTAAAAGAATTAATAAATTAATCCAATATTAATAGGAAATATATAAATTTCAAGATGGTGAAATTTTAAAATGTATTAACTGAAAAATTTTGAAATGCAACTATTAAGAAATTACAAAATTTCCAAATCATTTAAAAAACAGTTAAATTGCAAAACTTCTAAATGTACCAAAATTAGAAAATTTTCAAACTAAAAGGTTTTAAAAAATGATAAAAAAATAAGTTTAAAAAATAAATATCTAACGTGACTTTCTGAACTTCTCAGTTTGACGATGAATCTTGTAAAAGAACGTCAAGATACAACTCGTTAGAATAATTATTGCATGCAACAATTTGTCGAGCGAGGGAATTCATTTGCACGGTGTTGTTCATCAGCATTTACGACATGGCTGTTCGTCGTTCAAGAAGCTGAGTGCTCGGCAATCTGTAGGTCCCGGCGCTAATAAAACATCTTTTGTTCCTCCGCTGTCATTATGGAAATAAATGCCTTAAAGTCGAATGGGTATTAATTAAGCGGTGGTTAGCTTGCGGTCTCTGCCTCGGTTAACAGTACATTCCTCAGAGGCCTCCTTCTAATTTCAGAATCGGGACTTAAAAGTATGCTTCGCGTCGTTTTATTTATTTGTAAATTATATGTCAGATTTGTAAATTACCAAATTTTCAAGTTTTTGTGTTTCTAAATTTTCTAAGTTTTATATTTGAAGATTTGAGATTTGGTCATTTCTGAATTTTAGAATTTATGAGTTATAAACTTGGAAGTTGGGAAGTTTGGAGGAATTTAGGAATTTAGGGAATTTAGGCGTTGGGAATTTAGGAAGTGGGAATTTAGGAATTGGAAATTTAGGAATTGGGAATTTAGGAATTAGGAATTAGGAATTTAGGAATTAGAGAATTTAGGAGGAGGGAATTTAGCAGTTGGTAATTTAAAATTTGGGAATTTAAGAAGTGGGAATTGAGAAAGTGGGAATTTAGGAATTGGGGAATTTAAGAATTGGGGAATTTAAGAATTGGGAAATTTGGAATTTAGGAAATTTAAGTATTGGGGAATTTAGAAAGTGGGGAATTTAGGAATTGGGTATTTAGGAAGTGGGAAATTTAGGAATTGAGTATTTAGGAATTAGGGAATTTAGGAGGTGGGAATTTAGCAGTTGGTAATTTAGAATTTGGGTATTTAAGAAGTGGGAATTTAGGAATTGGGGAATTTAAGAATTGGGAAATTTGGAATTTAGGAAATTTAAGTATTGGGGAATTTAGAAAGTGAGTATTTAGGAAGTGGGAACTTAGGAAGTGGGAATTTAGATATTGGGAGTTTCGTAAGTGTGAAATTAGAAATTTGAAAATCTTTTACTCCAAAAGTTTAGTAATTTGGAAATCTAGAAATTTCATTTTTCATCTAACAATTCAAACCCCAAGAAATTCAATCACCCACTAATCTAAAAATAACAAAATAGCAAAATATAAAAATTTTCCAATTTGCAACTAAAAAGACCCAAAATCCCGTCCCTCGAAAATTTACAATTTAAGACTAACGAACAATCGCAAAATTTCTTCAAAATTGGAACAAATGGCGTATCATTTACAAGCGTAGAAATAGTAAACGAAAGTGAAAGCAGGTTGATTGATCAGAAAAGGAAGAAGCACAAGTTTCCTGGGCGTTAAAGGAAGAGAAATCGAGAGTTCCATTACTCACAGGCAATTTGAATGATTCATGAGTGCGCGCGTCATATATGAACAAAAAGAAAAAATAAGTTTACAAACACGTGATTTTCATATGGAACTTGTACGATGATTTTTCGCTTCTCGTCGAAAATCCACACGGTAAAAGGGATGAAGTTTCGCTCGGAGGGATAGCTTCATGATTTATGGAAGATACGTTCAGGTACCTACCACGTTGGAATTATTGGCAAGATCCTGATATGTCTTCGTCGTAGTTGTCGTCCGTTGATTGTAAGACGGTAGTATCTTTACACGTTGGGTAGTTCACGTTCGTCATTTGTCTGCTTCTGATCGTAGTGATAGGTTAACCTAGGGGTCTAGAAAAATTAAATATCATTGCAAATCTTTGACACGTGTATCTGTAAATAGAAATTGAGGTTTAGTAGTTTATTTACTGTGTCACTTCCTAAATTCACAATATCTACATTCCCACTTCCTAAATTTCAACTACTATACTCCTCAATTTTAAATTTCCCAATTCCATAATTTTCCAATTCCATAATTCCCCATTTCCCAAATTCCCAAATTCCCAAATTCCCAAATTCCTAAATTCCCAATTTCTCCAATTCCCCAATTTCCTACTTCCCAAACTCACCAAAGTTCCCCAACCCCAAATGCACAAATTTTTCGACCATCGCACCATTGCGTTTATACCCATCACTGCCTACTATGAATCACCTACTCCGTGACTTTAAACCTAAATCCGCATTTAGCTGGTGAATATATCCAACCAACTGAAAATAGTTAAGAACGCCCACGTCGTGACGTTGATTGAAAAGCATTGAAACATCTTTTTCTTCGATTTCCTACTTAACGGTACCAATTCTGGTGAAACTCCCAGACGGGAATTTATGCGTGACAGTTTCTCACAAGTCAGTCACCGATCTGTGTGTGGACTACTTAAAAGATTTCTGTGCCATCGACGAAGCACATTTCCCGTCTAGGATCATTCAGGACCTCTCTTTTTCGTGTTACGACCGAGATAACACGATCCTCTCGTCATGAAATTGCTTAATTTCCAATCGTACCGGAGATCTCCGAAGATTAAGTTTCTGTCTTTCGTACTTTTTAACGAGTTTCGAATGCCCGTGTCGGGGATTTTACTGCGTTTTTATGTCTCTCTTTCGATAGGCCAAGTTTACCCGTGTGCATTAATCGCGATTGAACAAAACTAGTTTCTCGAAGTTACTTCTTTTTACGATTTCCCGTCGGACCGCTTAGAATTTATAAATCGACGTTTTACACTTATAGAAATGTTAATTCACTTTCTAACCGTCCTGACAGGCCACAGTATGCCATCTATCATAAATATCCCTGGGAAATGTTGATCGCGAAGTCAACGGTCAGACGTAATTACGATGGGTCCCGAGTTCAGTCACGTTTCAAATGTTGAAATAATACGGTAATATTCGCGATATTTACAAATGGAAGAAAGTACTTGATTAATGTCTCGTGTCTTAGAGTATCGTCGGATTCCATGTAAAACCCGTGAGAGAGAGAGTCGTTAACGCGCCGTAAATCTTAATCAACCAGAAACATTTATAAAGATGTCTTCATCGGGCGTTAATGATTTTTATTCATAATCTTGTTCCAGACTGGTGTCACAGCTTTGCAGAAGGCAGCCTCGGAGGGACATTTGGAGATCGTTGAGTTGCTCTTGAAACACGGAGCCGATGTCGCTCGTCAGGATAGTGTGGTAAGTTTTAATAAATATACATAGAATAAAGTCGCGTCAACTGATCGTTGTTCCGCTCTGGTCGCGATCAATTACCGTGAAACCTTACTTTCGAAGATCGAACCGTTGATCGAAACAAAAAACCGATTGTGATGGAACCGCAGATCTTCGTGTCTGTATGCTGTGTTCTGTTATTCTGTAAATGTGTCTGTGTATACGATTCTGCAGATTAATTGAATCGATTGAAAATTGAAATTCATTAATTAAAAGCAATGTTTCTTTGTTATCGTTCAGTTGCTAATCCAAGTCAATCTCATGGTTGCGCCAGCATGCGATCATTTACTGAGGGATACGATCAGTTAACGCGACCTCACTGTAAAGCAGTTGATACTAGAGCAATTGACCAGAATTGGGGAAAGGTCTAACATAAAAATTAATGTCTAAAATTTAATATTACCTAAAGTCTGATACAATAAATAATATCAAAAGCTTCATGCAACAATTGATACCAAAAATCTGACATAAAAATTGTCAGAATCTAAACTGTCAAAATCTAATATAATAATATCTGAAATTGTATAATAATATCAAAAATTTGTCCGAAAAATTAATATCTAAAATTTAATATAATTGGCACCTAAAGTGTAATGTCATAGTAAATCGCGTAAAATCAATAATTGACTAAAGGTAAATGTAATAATGAAGGCCCAGAAGGTATTAATTAATACTTGAAAGGTAATACAACAAATTATCGAGCTAACATTATGAAGAGACTGCTTCAGAACAAGCTACGTTCATTAGCGAATTAATATACAAAATAATGAAACGGAAATAGCCATACGATACAAAATGGATGCGTAGCATCGGGGAAACACGATGCGCAGGTCCGATGCGCATAAACGCATTTTTCATCTACTCTTTACGAGTCTCTTTACCGAACAGACACCGGAATGTTACTTACATTGATATGCGTATCTTCGTAATAAGAGCCCCTGGCGCTCAGCACGCGGTCCTGTAGAAAAAATGAAAAAAAGCAAGAGAGACTGGAGAAATCGCTACCAGGAAGAAGACCAACAGGATGATCATAATTTTGCGTTCTTTTTAGAAGAAACAATTTAACGGATTTTTACGCGGCTGCATTGACAGCGGTATTTTATCACTTTCTCAAAGCTGATCCCCTACGGGCGTAAGTTTTATTCGTTTCGTAATATGGCTCGATGTGTCCTGTGGTGGTTAACGAGAACGCGACACTCGCGACACGTACATAAATCCGTGATGTATAAATGTATGTACACATAGGGTGTCCCAGAAATAGTTTCACTATTCTACTTCCACAATTAAGTTATTACAAACAAACAATATTTTTCCGTATTTGACTTCCTTTTGTAGAAAAACAATTTCAAAATTCTCTGAAATATTTGTACAAAAATTTGACTAATGAAAATGATAAGAAATTTACAAATAAAGATGACATTTTTAAAAATCTGTAGAAATTTAGTTAATATAGAAATTAATGATTGTTACAAATTATTAACATCGCTGAAATTATTGTTAATAGAAAATGTTCATTGCAATGTTGGTGCTTGCATGTGTATTTATTATACTCTTAACTAAATTCATCACACTCTTTAATATTTTAATATCACTAAGGACAATGATCGATAATTTACCAATATTATGACACTATACATCTGTATTTGTTCATACGATCCTTTATTACATCAATAAAAAAATTGTTCAAATTGTCAGATTTATTGATATAATCAAATTTACATACAAATATATTAAAGAATGTTGAGATGATTTGTTCTTGCAAGTAGAATCAATAGAATCAGTAGGATCACTTTAACCGCGACTGTTTGACCACCCAGTGTATGCGTATACACTGTTTCACTGATAGATACAATTACAGAAGAGAAAATAAAACGCTCGTGACCGAAGAAGGCAACTGCAATAAATCGACCGAAGTAAATTGGGAAATCGAGAATCTTGCACGGTTTTTTTTCTCGAAGAAGAAGAAAGAATGGCGCTTCGAAGGATCTGCAAACACGCGTTAATGGCCAGCCGTAAATTGACGCTGAAATTCGATAGGGGCGAAATGAATTTGGGAAACGCCGGGGACACGTGGATTTTGGAATTTTAAGTATTTTAGAATCAATTTCGAATTTATCGAATTTTTTTCCAAATTCTTAAATTTCCGAATTTTCCAATTTTCCAAATTTCCAAATTCTTAAATTTCTCAAATTTCCAAACTTTTAAATTTCTAAATTTCCAAATTTCCAAATTTCCAAATTTTCAAATTTCCAAATTTCCAAATTTTTGCTTTTCCAAAATTCCAAATTACCAAAACCCACTATTCCCAAATTTCCCAAATTTCCCAAATTTCCAAATTTCTAAATTTCCAAAATTCCCAAATTACCGAATTCCACTATTTCCAAATTTTCCAAATTTCCAAATTACCAAATACCACTATTTCCAAATTTCTAAATTACACAGCGTGAAATTTACAAAAGAACAGAATATCCCAAAAAGTAAAACTTAAAATTCGCCCGATTGAATTTCCGAATGAACCTGGAATTCCATGACGTAACTACCCCCTCGAATATCCGATGTTTTGCAAATGATCGGAAAGATCGCGGCAGATTTAAAGATCAATCGGTGACCCTCATCAGCACACAAAAAGCTCTACAGACTCTCACGCACACTGACGAACCTCCCATCATTTTCGTGTCGTTTATCTCGCGTGTGCGTCCCGTTCGCCAAATTGCTGCCTTAAAAAGAGCAAATCGATCTACCGGCGATCCTCGAACGCGTTCTTTAACACGTACCCGCAATAACGCGATACAATATCGGTAATGACAGCCATTAAATGCTTTACGACGTAATGATAGCCGCGATATCGATTGGAATACATCCTGACCTTTTGGAACGCATCGTGTCCTCGTCCCTGTCGACGAGATAATTATCGGCGACTCTGCAACTGTGTTTCAGTTTCGTGGAATCCGAGTTGCAACCGTGGTTAAAAAGGGATTTTGCATTTCATTTGCATACGGCGGTGACAAGTCGTATATAGGTACTTGGTGCACAAGTTCTCTCGGTTAGCAATTATCGCGGCGCGTTCCGAGGACTAATTACGTGATCGATCTTTCCGCAAATCGGAAGTGACAGTACGACAGATTTTTACAACCAGATGTCGTTTTAGTAGTTGTAATCATATGTTATATAAGTGTAATCGTAGGTATAATGATCGTGGTAGCTTGATGGGCTTCGGAAGTGAAAAGGAGCAGATTATGGTGTTTGTGGACTTAGAGATTTATACGAACGGAATATTCTTTTTATGTGACAGTGATTGTTGGAAGTTTTGGAGTTTGAATTTCTATGATTTAAGATAAGTGCTTAAAAATTCAGAAACTCGAGAATTTGCAAGTTTGATCATTTCAAATTTTGTACATCTATTTTAAAAGTTCTGGACTTACCACTATTCTTGCATCTCTTTGAAAATAATCCTTCTATGCAGAATTCTCGTCATTTACATGAAACATTCATAAAACATAATTCATGAATAATCTTCATTCTCCAAATTGCAGACGAATGTTAATTAATTATACACCTAACCACCACGTACATATACCATAGTATTCCATCCTGTTCATCTACACAGAGATCCTCGTCATGCAATTAGCATCGAAAGGTATTACATTTCCCAGAATTAAAACGGTTGTTTCAGACTTTTTCCTAGTTGCTCATTTCCTCGCGCTACAGATTATATTATAAAACTATGTATTAACGTATGTATACACGCGGCACGATCGTTTGATCTTTCAACTGTTGAATGTGCCGCCGATTGGATATCGATTAATCCGCACTTTGGCACGGCGTAGCGAAGTATCTTCGATTGATTATTATCGCGCCGATAATGATAGCCCATATCGGTTGAATCGTTTAATGAGCATCAGGCACGTTCTTTACTCCGAAAGGACCGGTGTTGCAGTGCCGTTAATGTGTGGTATTAACCGACGGGAAATGCGGGTTCTTCTTCTTATTCCAGAACAGTTTCACTGAATTCGATGATACAGAACGAATTGGTTAGATCAGTAAACGATTACTCTAAGAAGCTAGAAATTTATTATATCCACGAGCTACTGTTAGATACGATCCTTGCATTCTCAAGGGAGATTATGTAAATGTATGAACACGTTTATCGGATAAAAGGTACGTACTTGCTTCGAATTTGTGCAAGAGGGATTGGATAAAAATATGAGACAGGGTTCTGATCGGTACATGATACTTATATGTTTAGCAGATATTAGCATAGGTGATTTTTAAATCGAGTGAGACTTTTCAGGATGAGGATTGTCAAGAATTATATTGTTCTTATATTACTGAGCATACTATAGAGTCACTATAGTAGCTCCCAAATGGCGTGGATTATCTAGCGTCACTATAGTGGCTCACTCTAGTCTACGGTCCACTATAGTGGCTTTTCGAGATCACAGATTTTGCTTATAGCCACTTACTGGCTTTTCGAGTAACGTAGATTTTGCTCCAAAGCCACTACAATGGCTTTTCGAGGTCATAGATTTTGCTTATAGACATTTTAGCGGCGTTCCGAGTGACGTAGATTTCGCTCTAAAGCCACTATAGTGGCTTCTCGAGGTCACAGATTTTGCTTATAGGCATTTTAGCGGCATTTCGAGTGACGTAGATTTCGCTCCAAAGCCACTATAGTGGCTTCTCGAAGTCACAGATTTTACTTATAGCCACTATAGTGGCACACTTTACCGTACATTCCACTATAGTGGCTTTCGAATGTCGTAGATTGCCGAGAGCCACTATAATGGCTCACTCTACTGACTCGCTCACCGTTTCATTTGAATGATCGTTTTCGTATCGATACATAGCAGCATCGAAATTCAGACTTGCCTAAGAGGTTAGAAATGAAAGTGAAGAGCTTGAGGAATACAGGTAAAGAGTTTCTCCTGTGCATTATATATTTTTATATGTATAATGAAACTTGTCTA